TCTCCCAGTAAAGGGTAACTGCAGGATAGGTTAAGTTTAGGAGTTCGGGTTGACTAAATCAATGACTAAATCGTATCGCTAAAATGTGACACGCGTCGTTAATAAAGTCTCGCAACTTGTTAATTTAATAGAATAATAATTCGAGCGGTAAAGTTATTATGTTGTGGGATCGTTACACTGGCTAGGATTGGTGATTTCAAAGTAAAGGTTTGATAATTGATTTTACAGACTTTTAAGTTTACACAAAGAGCATATATTCAAAAGTAACTATACTAATTACAAGTGTCCAGTGTCGTGTTGTCGCGGTTAGTGTATGAAATTAAGATGACCTAAGTGTTGCGCGGTGTTGACGCACTGGCGATGCGGGGGTCGAGAGTACTTTTATGGCCGTAATAGATTTTAAAACCGTCTTCGCGGATCTATATGGTAACGATGATCGAAAGGAAATGAAGCCCGATCTCATTAGAGTGCTACTCTACAGACGATCAATGTGTCTCTAACGAGTAACTCTTTCGTACTAGCCCCCGAGCAACGAAAATCGTGGGTTTATATACCCCTAAATGTTGGTGTGGAACCGCCAGTGATTTCCATATTAAGAAATTTGACTGTTAGGATTTTCGTTGCTCTGAGGTCGGCAGCTGTGTGCCCTGGGAAAAGGGTAGATTAGAAAGTATCCCACGCAACGCGAGTCAAAGATGATATTAAGAGGATGCAGCTCCAGGATGCACTCCAGTGAGACCGATCTCCAAATTCCAGAAGGGTAGATCAAATAAAATTAATGAACGCGAGCTTCTAAAAAACGGAGAGTTTCTGTATACGTAACATCATATTAAATGCAATGCACCTTTTTCGGAGGCGGCGCAAAATTTAGAATTAAGTATATTAAAAATTGCTAAACTTGGTTTAACTTTCTGTCGGAGAAACAAAAAATATGGTCTTTATTTATTGGTATCATTACATCCACTTTGACATCATATTCATTAACACTAGTCAATATCGCCGCCCCCACCAAATACTATCCCAAACCTATTCATACAGTATTTCCATGTGGAGAGTTTATACATTAGCAGTAATCAATATGGCCGCCACTCCCCTCCAAAAAAGCCCCAAATCTACTCACACTATATTTCCGTGTACATACTATATACATTAACTATTAATTCCTCAATTACAATAAACATGTATACATTGACAGCATTCAATATTGCCGCCTCTACCAAAAGCTAACCCAAACCAGAATTTAAAAATTTTTACATCTGTGCCGCCTCTGAAAAAGGTGCATTGCATTTAATATGATGTATTTAATCATTTAACCAAATTCATCAAATGATGGTGAATAACAATGCAGTTTAAATAGAAATTATTTCACACTTTTCACTGTATTTTCTCATACTTTTAAGCAATTATATCTAGAGCTTGTGCGTATTCATATACATTAACTAGAAATTATTTCACGCTTTTCACTGCATTTTTTCATACGTTTAAGCAATTATATCTAAAGCTAGTGCGTATTTATATAAATTAACTAAACTTCCGTTTCCGGTGATAGAGTGTGTGAGTCGTGTGAAAGGTGTAAAGAAATTTGGAGGAAGGTAGTGTGGGTATAGTGTGGTGGTAGTGAGGTAGGAGGGTAGGGTTAGGGAGTGGAGGTGAAGGGCTACTGGGGGAGGGTAGAAGATAGTGAAGGGAGTGAAGGAAGGGAAAAAAATCGGTGTGAAGGCTGAGCACGTGTAGTCAGAGGTTAGCGTGATAAAAAAGTAGAGCGACGGTAGCGACGCGGCGCTGAGATTGTGGGAAGGGCATAGGGAGCGCGGGGATTGCAAATTAGAGGGTAGTAGAAGAGGAGAAAAGGGAAGTGGAGGATAGTAGGATAGTGAGGAAACTGCGTCGAAAGGATAATGGAGGGCGAAGATGAGTGTAGAGGTGGGGTAGGGGAAATAGAGCGAGAGGGGAGCAAGGTGGCGATGGCGAAAAGGAGAGGGAGACCGACAAAGGCAGAGGCTTAGGGTAGGGAAAGGATGGGGAGTCTAGGGAATATAGAGGATTTGCTTAACAGAGGAAAGAGGAAGGAGAGAGGAGGGGAGGAGGTGATGGAAGCAAGGGAAGTAGAGGAAATATTTAAAAGAAGTAAGAAAGTAGAAAGAACGCCATAAAAGTTGGGGATAGGAAAAGCGGAATTGGAGCAAATGCTAAGAGGGTTGATGGAGGGAATGAGGAAAGATATTGGAGAGGATTTAAAGAAGATAGGGAAAGGGGTGGAAGAGGGAAGAGAAGAAATGCTGAGGGAATTGAGCGACATGAAAGAGAGCTGGGAAAGAGAAAGGGCGTAGCTAAGAGAGAAGATAGAAATGCTTGAAAAGAAAGTGGAAAGGTTAGAATTAAAAGAGAAAAAAGAAGAAGGAGGGAAAACAGGTGAGGAGGAAAGGAGGGAGTTGAGTAAGAAGAAGAGAGATTTGGTAATAAGAATAGATAAAAAAGAGAGGGAAGCGAGAAGAAGGAATTTGATAATAAAAAGTGTGAAGGTGGAAGGGAAGGGGAAGGAAGAAGTGATAGAAGAGATTTGGGGGAGGATAGGGGTGAAACAGAAAATAGAAGAAGTAAGGAGGATAGGCAAAGTGTATAGAGAGGGGAAAGGTAGGTTGCTGGTGAAGATGCAAGGAGTGGAGGGAAAGAGGAAGGTAATGATGGCAAAAAGGGAATTAAAAGGGAGGCCGGAAAGAATAGAAGAAGATAGAACAAAGGAAGAAAGACGGGCAAGGTGGAAGATAGAGAGAGAGGTGGAAAGAGAGAGAAGAGAGGGAAAGAGGGTACAGATTGGGTACATGAAAATGTGGGTTAATAATGATTTGAGAAGATGGGATGAAGTGGAGGAAAAGTGGATAGAGGAACAGGGAAACGGGCAGAGGGGGGTTCAGGGCAGAGAAGGGAAGGCGAAAGAGGGATGGAAAGAAGTGTAAAAGGAGGATCAGGAGAGGATAGCAGAATATATAAGGTGGCGTTTTGGAATATGGCAGGATTGAAGAACAAAGAGAAGGACTTTTGGGAGGGAATCAAAGAATGGGATGTAGTGGTGATGTGTGAAACATGGGTGGGAAGAAGGGAGTGCCAGGGAATAAGAAATAAAGCGACGAAACAATATGTGTGGGAATTACAATATGCGGTAAGGAGAGGGAAGAAAGGACGGGCTATGGGGCAAGGGAAGGAATCAAAATGATGAAAGTCGAAAGGGAGGAGGAGGAGGAAGAGGGAATAATGGCTAGGAAAATATAGTTAGGGGAGGAGGTGTGGAATATGATAGGAGTATATGCGAATAAGGATTTGCAGAAGAAGCTGGAGAGAATGAGGGAATGGATGGAAGAAAGGGAGAAGGGGGTAAGGGTAATAATGGGTGGAGATTTAAACGCTAGGACGGGGACGCAAGGAGGATGGGGGTCAGAGGAGGGGGGAGAGGAAGAAGAGACAATGAGGTCGAAGGACAAGAAGATAAATAGTGAGGGAAGGAGACTATGCCGATTTCTGGGAGAGCTAGGTTGGGGTATAATGAACGGAGATGTGACAGGGGATGAAGAGGGCGAATTCACGTATACAGGGAATTGAGAGTCAGTGATAGATTATGTGCAAGGAAATGAAGAAACGAGGGTAAGAACGGTAAGGTTGGTAGTAGAAGAGAAAGTGGAATCGGACCACCAACCAGTAGCAGTATGGATAGAGGGAGGAAAAGGGGAAGATGGGAAAAGATGGAGAAGGAGAAAAGGGGGGAGAGGTAAAAAGGGGTGGTGGACAGAAGACAGAAGGAAAGAATTTGGGGAAGGGTTTGTAGGGAAAGAAGGAAGGGGAAAAGATTTTGAAGAGGTGTCGGGAGAATTAAAAAGGGAGGTATTACAGGTGTTAGAAAAGATGGAGAAGAAGTATAATAGGAAGGAGGGAAGAGATGTGTGGGATGAGGAATGGAAGAAGAAAAAGAAGATAGCAGAAGAGGAATTGAAAAAATGGAAAAGGGAAGGAGGAAGTGGGGAAAGCTTTAGGAAGGCAAGAGGCGAGTTAGGTAAAATGAGGAGAGAGAAGAAGAGTAGAGAAAAAGAGAGGTGGGAGAAGGAGATAGAAGGAATCAGAACAGAGAGAGAGGTATGGAAGATTGTCATTAGGGGAAGAATGCGGAGGAAAGGAGTGAATACAGAAATAGAGATTGAGGCTTGGGACGAATATTTTAGAGAGGTGTTAGGAGGAGTGGGCTGGAGGATAGAAGGAGAAGAGAGAGGAGAGAGGGGGGAGGATGAAGAGGAGGAAGTAAGTAGAGAGGAAGTTTGGGCGGTAGTAAAAAAGTTAAAAGAGGAGAAAGCAACAGGAGGTGACGGAATCCCAAACGAAGTATGGAAGTATGGAGGGGAAGTAGTAAGGGAATGATTATGGGAAATCTGTAACCGGGTGTGGAGAGGGGAAGGCTGGCCACAAGACTGGTCGGAAGGAGTGGTAGTGCCAGTGTTAAAGAAAGGAGATGGGACAAGAGTGGAGGAGTACAGAGGGGTGACGCTTACGCAGACGGCGTACAAGGTGTATGCGGGGGTGTTGGCGGAGAGGCTAAGGAAGGAGATAGAGGGAAGAGGCATTCTACCACCGAATCATCCGATAACATCTATGTACTCAACTGTCTAATGAACAGGCAGATAGCAAGGAAGGGGGGCAAGTTGATAGTACTGTTTGTGGACTTAAAGGCAGCTTTTGATTCAGTGGATAGGAAGGTATTAGCAGAGTTGATGAGGAAGGTGGGGGTGAGAGAAGGGCTGGTGAGGAGGTGCGTGGAGATTTTGAGGGAAACGAGAAGTAAAGTGAGGGTAGGCGAGAAAGAGGGGGAGAGTTTTTGGACGGAGAGAGGGGTGAGACAAGGATGTCCACTAAGCCCGATGCTCTTCACGATTTTACTGGCAAATATGGAAGATGTACTGAAGAAAAGAGGATGGGGAGGGGTGAAGATCGAGGAGGAAAAGATATACACGCTGGCTTATGCGGATGATATAGCGGTGATGGCGGAGGATGAAGATGGAATGAAAGGGGTAGTGGCGAGATTGGAAAGGTACATTGAGGAGAAGAAGCTGGAGGTTAATGTAGGGAAGACGAAGATGATGAGATGTAAGAGTGGAGGTGGGAGGAAAGGGAAGGTGAAATGGAGGTGGAAGGGCAGAGAGATTGAAGAGGTGAAAAAATTTAAATACCTGATCTACGTGCTGATGGCGAATGGGAAGCAGGAAGAACAGGTTAATGAGAGAGTTAAGAAAGGGATGATAGCGATGAGACAGGTATGGGGGATAGGAAAAAGGATATTCGCGAAAGATTGGGGTAAAAGGGTATGGCTGTTTGACAAGCTGGTGTGGTCAGTTATGGGGTATGGGGTAGAAGTATGGGGATGGAAGGGGAGGGAGAAAATGGAGAGGGTTCAGGAGAGATTTTTGAAGTGGATATTGGGAGTGGGAAGAACGGTGCTAGGATACATGGTGAGGGAGGAGATGCAGAGGGAGTTGCTGGGAGGAAGGGCTAGTATGAGGGCATGGGGATATGAAAGGAAACTAAGTGAAGGGAAAGGAGGGGAGCTGGCGAGGAAATGTTGGATGGAGATAAGAGGGAGAGCAGTGAGGGGTAGGGTTTTAGGAGAATGGGAGGAGGAGAGGAGAGAATTTTGGGAAAGAAAGGGGTGGAGTATAGGAGAGGTGGAGGAGTGGAGGGAGGAAGGGCGATTGAGAGGGGAGGAGATAGTAAAAAGGGAGAAAGAGGTGCAGAGGGAAGAAAGGTGGAGGAAGATAGTGGAGTCGAGGTACAATACATGGTATAAAATGATAAAAGGAGAGGGGGTGCCAAGGTATCTGACAAAGAATTGGGAGGAAAGGAGGTGGCAGTTGGTGGCAGGGTATAGGTTAGGGGATAAAATGAAAGGGGGAAGATATTGGGAAGAGGAGGACAGAAGGAGATGCAGGGTTTGTTGGGGAGGAATAGACTCGTGGGAGCATGTATGTGAGGAGTGTACGAACTGGAGTAGAGAAAAAGGATGGCAGGAGGTTGTGACGGAGGTGCTAGGGGAAGAGGGGGAAGGGGAGGTGTGGATGAGGAGAGTGGAAGAGATGAGAGCAAGGACGAGCGGCGGAAACGGAGGTCAGGAATGAGAGTGTGTGTGGGAATAAATGAATGGAATCTCTCTCTCTCTTGCAGGGGTGAATGGAAGGAAAAGTTAGATGTAACGTAGAGAAGTAAGAATAGTGTATAAGTAGTGTTACGAGGAAGTAATGTAAGCGGGGCGGAGGTTCGCTTGTACTCCGCAAAGAGAATAAACTATAACTAACTAACTATATAAATTAACTAGAAATTATTTCATACTTTTCACTGTACCTTTTTTGAAGTCGGTTAAATTCTTTTTCCAAAAAATTATTTTATTTTGCTTACTGATGTGAAATTGCAGAAGATGTTAATTTCAACGTCGGTAGATATCGGGAGGGACACTTTATTGTAATTAGAAAAAGTTGTAATTGGAGTTTCTGCTGTTATGTTCAGAGTGAATTCTTGTTTGAATTGTTCTACTGTGGTGTTAACAATGTTCTGGAGGCCCGTGCCATTATTGAGGTAGCGAGGTGAGTTTATTGACTCGTAAAAGGCCCCTCTTATGTTGAGTTTGTCTGAGGTTGTCGAGAGAATGAATTTACCATTAATTTTTTGAGCGCACGTTAAGTCGCATGTGCTTCTCGTGAGCAGTGGTAGGTTGTCTTCATTAATGTGTATATTGTCAATTTTAATGGTTGTTTGGGTCTTAGAATTCTGTTCATTCACGGGAAAAATTCTTCTACTTTACGGTAGTTTATTTTTTTTAATTGTTTTATCCAGAACGATTCATCGGCTTTCCGTAGTTCTATTTGTAATGCCGTTCTAACATTCTTTAATAGAGTTTTGATCGTTCTTGTCTGTTGATTTCGAGTTGTTGGATTTGAAATGTTTGACATGTACTGAATGGAGAGGCGAAATTAAATATGATTTATCTCTTTAGAGTTGTTTAATTTTTGTATTGATGTACTTTGATATACTATCAGTGGCCTTGAAAGTTGGTATTGCGGTATTAATCGCGTACATTATTGATTCATTAATCATTGAAAGATTGTGATCGATTTCAACTATTGTAAGGTTACGGTTTTCTGGGATGTCTTGGTTGAACGATCCTTCGAGTCTGCTTGTAAAGGCATTCCAGTTCGTGGCTCTATAATTGAACCGGTGTCGAGTTTGGGCAAACCTAATACTCTACCGACTGCGACACGCTAATTATCTGACATCTCCAACACTTGTACGGTTGATATTCGTCAATCGAAATTTAGATATATTTAAAAATTTATTTCTCGAAAACGAAAGAGAGTTGCTCCTTCCTACTTTCAGAGATTGTCTTACATATCCTTCTTTACATATGAAAAAAATCTGATTAAAAAATTCGGTGCGCACTTCGCGATGTCTCCCCTTCTCAGAGTTCTAATATCACAATAATACTGAATTAAATGTATCTTCCACAAAACAAATAGAACTAATTACACGAATTAAGAGATACAAATAATGTATTCGTAAATGTTTCTTATATCCAACATATTAAAAAAAGGTATAGATATAATAAAACAGACATAAAATATAAAGAGACCGAAACATCGTATGAAATGCAAACTCTACAAATATAGTCTTTTTAGGCAATGATATGATATAATATACTATTGCATTTCTGTTTCTTTTTTTCGTATTTGCACTTTTATATTTTTATTTCTTTTATTATTTTTCTTAAATTTATATCTTTGTATTAAACTTTTTGAACTAAAAGGTTTACTTGCACATAATAATATACTACAATATAATATTAAAAAGTTCTAAATCAATCGAAAACATCTTAATAATTCCAAACTGATACTGATACTATTTCATTTTATCTTTAAAAATTTAAGAAACATATTTTGTTATATCCTATTTATCTATACACTATTTTACTGTTTCTTTGTTTCAATAGTTTATGACCATTAAGTCTTATTTCGAATTTAACATTTTAACAATTTACTGTTATTTTACCTTTAAGATCGTCTATTACTTTATAACGGAGAGAGGAAAATGAAGTACCTATTACATAAATTATCGAACATTAAATCCCCGTGGATTCAGTGTTACCGCGCAAAAACTTTACAGAAATTGTTCCGATGTTTATTGTCGATTGATTGGAGAGTTACAGTGGGTGTAGAAAGTATTTGTACACCGATAAATTTCCAAAAAAACTGTGTAAAATTGTAATTTATTAACTTATTTTTTATAAACAATGATATTCTACATGTTCTAGGAAATCTCTAGAATAGATAGATTACAAAAAAAAGTAGCTATTTATGTAAGTTGCGAAATTAACAAGAAAAAAACAATTAATCGATAGAAATATTGAAGCAATAAGTATTCGCATAACTGTTTAAAAATATTTTCCTGAAAATTTGATGTTTTCTAATTCGCACGGAGGAATAAACTAATGTGTTTACGTTACAAACTCTGCTGTAAATGGTTCGTCATAAGAATCGTACAAATACTTATTACTTCTATACTCTTACCCACTTTTCGCATTGTTTTGTTAATTTCACAAATTATATTAACTAGTAAATGTTGTTTGGACTATATCTATCTTAGAGACTTACTGTACGCTTATGCGTACGTCGATCATCTGTCGATTTATGCCAGTTCGAGACAGCTGATATCGAACAATATCGACCATGACGAAATCGAAGGCTGAGTCACGTGCTTCAAGATACCGATTTTCCCGTACACCGAGGCGAAAATCTCAGCCGCTACATTCATCTACCTATCAGTTGGCTTACAACCGTTGAACCGCACAATCGTTCGCGAAGCGCGTTTCGTGACATCGATATCGAAATCGCGGGTCAAATCAGTCACGAGTAAAGATCCATAGGCCACGACACAGTTAGGATCAGCTTCGTCGACGGATGTCGCTCTGATGTTTATCATCTATCGACTGACGAGTCGCCTTTAGAAGCACGTCGATCATCTGTCGAATTACGCCGGTCGTGGCCGACAGGTGTCGAACAATATCGACCGAGACGAAAACGAAGGCGGAGTCACGTGGCTTGAGAGTGCGATTTTCCCGTAAACTAGAGGCAGAAATCTCAGTCACTTCATTCATCCACCTATCAGTTGGCTCACGACCGTCCAACCGGACAGTCGCACGCGAAGCACGTTTCATGCATCGATATCGAAATCGCGATTCAAACCACTCACGAGTGATGATCCGTAAGCCAAAAGACAGTTGAGAGTGGCTTTGTCGACGGAACCTTGAGTCATCTGTTGTCGAAGAATTCTTCACACTCGTCGAGATCCAGCGTGACGCAACGAGTGAATGTTTTTCGGAATTAAACGCAAAACCAATCGCCGTGCACAGGTTCGTTTGTGTGGTCGCTAATCGATTTTCGGCAATCGAGACTCGTCGCTTATGATTGCATCCTGCGAAACCTAGAATCTTGCGGGCTGAACTTCATTTCAGAGCATTGGCAATTTTTTTTAACAGTTCCTATGTTTTCTGATGTTCTAGAAAGAATAATTTTGAGGTTAGGAAATCTTCGGTTTAAAAATTATTTACGTCTAAAGAGTGATACTATATCTAAAAAGCATTTCGTTAATGAAAGTTTGTTGGTGCATATAAATGAAGATGGAATTTTTATATTATAATACGTCTGTTTATCTTTTCTTCTGTACAGAAAAGACCTGATTCCTGTGAATAGATAAATAAATAATTGAATTTGTAATGCATGTGTTTGATTAAATTTCGACTCTTGGATTTAAGTCATCTTCAGATCTACAGCTATTAAAATTAAAATTGATTTAAAAATTTTCATTAATAATAAGCCGTAAAAATAAAAACTGATGCAAACGAAAACCAAATAAAAATCAGAATCAATTGGATATTTTAATGAAATAAAGTTGTAAAGTGAGACTTCAGCAAAAATTTGTTTCGTTGTTTATGAATTTTAATATCGCGAAAAAATTTCTTTTGAATGTATCAAGATCATGTCGAAAACTATAACTTTTTCGTATGATACATTATACTTCAGCACCATAGAAGAATAAAAAAAAAGTTTGGACAATACATGCTGGAAATGTACAAATGGATAAGACTACAAAAATTAATATGAATATCCCTATTTTGACTAATTTATCAAGTAATACTTAACAGAACAAATAAGAATAGGAACGATTTTTAAAATTTCTATATTTGTGTAATTTGAATTATTCTATTGAATACGCGTTTCTTTCATGTAGTCACAGATTAAGAAGGGTCTAATAAGGCTGCAGCCTTGAGACTTAAATTTCGAGGACCATTGTTTTATCAAATACTAAACTAAATTTTAAAATTGTTTAAGAAAAATTGTATTTCTCCAAAAATTAGAGATAAAGGGTTGTCAATATCGGGTTGTCCCCAATTTACACGGTAATCTTGTTTTTACAATTGTGCTTTTAAACGATTTTTAAGATAACCAATTTTCAAATAAAAAAAACTGTTAAAAATACAAATGTATACTGTTCTTGTATATGTACAGTAATTTTTTAGTATCGTTCGTTTGCTCAACACTGACATTAAATTTAGAAAGGGGAATTTCCTCTTTTTTTATTATAAAAAGCATTCATATTAATTAGAGCAGCACTTTTTTAACAGCAAACAAGTACCAATCGTTATACTTCTTTTTAATCGCAAATTTTTAAGACGTCATATTTATTAGTTAGTGATAATAATTACTACTTTTCTAGCATTTTTATAATTCGATTACAATTTTACAGGTTTTACCATCTCGAAAGAAAGTTAAAAATCAAAAGTAGTGGAAATAAAAGGTTTATTTAACGAATGGACTGGTATTTTTTTGAATTACATTTATATCTTACTTTTTGCTTACATTATAATAAATGAGTTTAATTAAACAATTAAATTACGAGCACTTTATTTTTCATGCAAAAGTCTACGAGTTCAATTTACACGGTATTTTGAAGAATCTACGTATGTTTGTGTATAATTTAGAGGATAAGTGTAAATCGTTAATTAACGACATGAATGATGCTTTCACTGTGAGAAGAATAATTAAGTGAATGTTATCTTGCAGTATTATTTAAATGCAAAAAGAAAAGTAATATCAATAAATAAATATTTATAAGTAGCTAAGGTAATAGGCATTTTTGATTTGCTGTTTACAAACACATTATATATTTTTGTATAATAATCCTCCTAAGGAGAAAGAAATCTATTGAACACACGTCCCTCTACTTTCATCATTAAGGATACACTAATCGTTCCTCCATCCTAGGCGCTTAGACACCTTTATTTGCTCGTTTTTCATTGCACTTCTCTTTTATTAGAAGACATACAGGGTAACCCAAAAATGTTGTAACACCTCGAAAGAGGTGGTTCGGGAGGTGATTTCAAACAACTTTCTCCTTAGCGAAAATGTTGTCCGAGGCTTCGTTGAGGAGATATTAACGGAAAACACTGACTAATCAGAGCGCGAGTATGCCAATGGAGCGCCCGCTGATTGATTGGGGTTTTCTGTTAATATCTCCTTAACGAAGCCTCGGACAGCATTTTCCCCAAGGAAAAAGTTGTTTCAAATCACCTCCCGAACCACCCCTTTCAAGGTGTTACAACATTTTTGGGACACCCTGTATATGACTCATTCACTTGTTTATATAGATAGTTATATTTATAGAGTACTACGTTACAACAAAGTACGTATTCTAATATTGTGTGTCATACCAAAATAGTGTATTTTTTCGAATTTGAGATGTTGCTGAAAGGAATAAAATAAGAAAAATGAAAATTTCTTCCCCAGCGTTTTTTACTATTTTTGTTATTTATAAACGGTTTTTTTGCAGTTCTCTCATCGATATTAACAAATGAAGCATAATTACACAGTTTGAGCTATAACTATCTATTTTGAAGATGTTGTAATATTAGCAGACAAATTACAAACGCTTGTTTTACGACATGTTGTTGCTCCCTTACTGTTAACGGCTTTGGGAGTTCGGATGAAAATTTAGTTTTTGGTTTAAAGTTTTAAGGAAGAATCAATCTCTTCGTTTATTTTTACAACATTTCTCTTATGAAGAAGCTGAAATGTAACTTGTTTACCGATTTTTCGAAAATTCTCTCGATTTTTATACAAAAGAACACTTTTATACCGTACAAATGCGGACAATTTACTTCGCTTAGCAACTATATTTTCTCAACAAAGTATAAATGCAGACTAATTACGTGAATTGAGACAAGTCAAGCGTAAAAAAAGTCTGTTTGCATTCATGTTCTTACAATAACACAACAGTATGATTTACGAACTCTTTGTTAAAATCATGAGTATGCGAGTTTTTTTGAGTAGGTCATATTCGTTTTCCTTTTTTTATTTCTTTCATCAACATTATTTCGATTTTTGTATGTCAGAAAACCCCAGAACATATATTTTGTATTGATACCCTACTTTAGTCTTTCTAATGCTGACCGAAAGCACTATGTCTAGGAAAAAAATATTGAACTAAATTGATGTGGGAAGGATAACTTAAGGAGTTAGTCGCAGTCAGGTAGAGGAAAAACGATTCTTTGCAATTTTTTTTTAGTTATTACATAATAATTTTCATAAGTAACAACTAAGTATATTATAAAACATATTTTAAAGAACTAAAAAACATTTTTTGTTTTAAGAAACGTTTAGTTTATATCGTCATCACCATTCTCTACACTGGTTTACTTGAAAACAAAAACAAAGGTAGATTTCGAAAATAGATTACTCTAGCGGGTCCCTGAACGAAGGATTTTGGAAAAAATTAATTTAAAACGAGATGGCGTATATTTGAAGTTGTTTTTCAATTTTTTCACTAAAATTAAGCGATTCAATACAGGATAAAAAAGAAAGTATACAAGAAAATAAAATATCCTTCGATCAGGAACCCGTTAGTCTAATATATTTTCTAAATCTACCTTTAGTTTTGTTTTCAGATGCACTAGTTTAAAGAAATCTTGCTCACCGCAAACAAAATGGCCACCCACACAATCGCCTGTTATGACGAAATGAATTAATCTTCTTTTAAAACAAAAATCTGTTTATAGTTGTTTAGGATATATCTTGTCGTATATTTAAATTTCATTAATAAAAATTATTATTTAATACCTTAAAAATACACACAAGAAAGTGTCCGTTTTCATTTTCCTGACTGCGACTAACCCCTTAACGCCTAGTTTATTTCAATATTTGTTGAAAATCGTGTTGACCATGTTTGTTAAACCTCACTTGGAAAAATGAAAAATAAGTTAATTTTCACATATAGTATTTAAGAATCATGATTTGTTCATAATTTGACGTAGACCATGTAATATAAAGCCTAATTAATGTATTTTCAATTATTCGTAACAAAATTACTAATATAATAATACAAAACTAAACTATAAGTCTATAATACGCAGCAAGGTCTAGAAGGATTCCCTGGTACAAAACAAATGATTCATGTAGCCAGTTAAACCTAAAAGCAATTTTTTAATTTCCTAAATCATCTTACAAGAGATTTCTAAAGAGAAATTCAATCATTCGCAATGTTTTGTAAATTTAACTTCAAAGAGAGTTCTCTTGTGAGGCGATTGGCACCATCGTATGCGTAACGTATGATCATAGATACTTTTCGGAAAATATTGCTAACAATAATATACTGTTATTTGGCACCATTCGAGGTTATTAAATAAAGATATTTAACGAGAAGTGAGTGTACTAATACTCTTTTTACCTACTCTAGAAATGGGTTAAAAAATTGTCGATGTCCCTAAACGAAGTTTAACTCAATTCGCACTAATGCGCAGGGCCGCCACTTTTCTGGGTGCAGTTTGCGTTGCCAAAGTGACCAGAGTAAAATTTTCTACGCTGCGTGTCGCGGTGGGGGTTTGTTTTCCTTCCCGTCCGTTCCCGTACGTTCGACAGCCGGTAGTACGCGCGCTGCGGTGTCAGTTTGTCTCTGGAACTAGCGAGGAGGACTCTTGAAAGAGTGTCTCTTGGAACGCGGCCAATCGAAAAACAAGAGTGACAGTAGTGCGAAAGTAATCTGGTTTCTTAACCGGAATCGTTCTGTTCGGTGTCGGATTTGTCGTTTTATTGTATCAACGATTTATGACTATCGAGGAAAGCTGTGCGCGGTCTAGTCACGCGACAGTGTAAAAGTGAAGAAAAGTGACCATAGATGTTCTTGAAGACAGGAATCTTCAATAAGATCCCGACGCAGGAAAAGAAAAGGAAGAAAGTCTTGATCGACTATCACTTGGCGAATCCCCGACCTATCTCGATCTGGCCTCCTCCCGTTTCTCTTTTTCCTTTCTTTTTCTTCTTTCTTTTCTCCTTTTTCCTCTGTTATCTTTCCTTTTTCCTTTTTCCTTTTCCCTCTTTCTTCTTCCTTCTGAAATTTTCGAAAATCGTGCGAGTTCCTCAACGAATCAAAGATCCAACATGGCATCGTCCAATAGCGAGGGGAGCGAAGACTATGGACTGGGGTACCAGAACACTTTGGTGAGTATTTGTTTCTGTTTATTATAAGTAATACTTGCGAAAATAAAAGAACTCCCGCTCCTATGATCTTCTGTTTAAAACGAAGGATTTTGACAGGTTCACTGTCCCCATGAGTCTTAGGTATTAGCAACTCAAATCTCGGATAATGCACTTGTTTGGTCGAAACTGGCATAATTAGCGATGGAATCGAGCATCTCGAAATTAGATGTTTGAATATTTTAAATTATGTTGTATAAAGAATGTATACAGGGTGTTCCAAAAATGTTGTAACACCTTAAAAGGGGTGGTTTAGAAGGTGAATTGAAAACACTTTTTCCTTAGCGAAAATATTGTCTGTGGCTTCGTTGAGCAGATATTAACGGAAAACACTGATCAATCAGAGCGCGAGTATGCCGATGGAGCGACCATGGTAGCGTAGGCTACGCGCTAGGTGGCCGCTCTCCTCGACCAATCAGAGCGCGAGTATGCCAATGGAGCGCCCGCTGATTGGTCTAGGTTTTCCGTTAATATCTCCTTAATGAAGCCTCAGACAACATTTTCGCTAAGGAAAAAGTTGTTTCAAATCACCTCCTGAACCACCCATTTGAAGGACCTCAATATTTTTGGAGGTATATATCCCTGTATACCTCTTTTGTATTGAGGTCTCGAGAAAGTTATGACGTATTTTTTTTTGATTTTTCAAATGTTATTTATTTACATAAAGAACAAAGATCAATCAATGATATATAGCCCGTTTTGTTCGATAACCTTTCGCCATCGTTCAGTGAGTTTCATAATTCCTCGTTTATAGAAGGACCTGTCTTTATCGGCAAAAAACTGACTAAAGTGCTGATTAACAGCCTCGTCGAAATCGAACGTTATATCACGCAAAGAAGCTTGAAGAGCGCGAAACAAATGGAAGTCCGATGGCGCAAGATCTGGCGAGTATGGTGGGTGTGATAACACATCCCATCCAAGCTGCAGTAATTTTTTAATTATTGGTTTGATTTTGTCATCATCAACCGCGATGGGTCTCCCTGACCGAGGAGCATCGCTGAAATTAAAATCACCGGCACGGAATTTCGTGAACCATCGTTGGCACTGACGTTCTTGTAAAGCATTGTCACCGTAAACTTTACGCAACTTTTCGCAAGTTTGACTTGCGTTCTTCCCTTTATGTAAGTAAAACAATAGAATATGATGAAAATGTTCAGTTTGATCTTCCATTTTCAATTTATCGTAAAATTTTCCAAACTCAACCAAATCGATCAGTCTTTTGTTTAGTACGAAGTTAGAGTTCTTAGTTGTCAAATGACATCAATCACGTGGTTGCAACTGACTCTAGTACTGCCAAAAGTAAACTAGTGCCACATGTTGCAGAAATGCGTCACGACTTTTTCGACAACCCAATACATACAGAGCGAGTCACCTAAGATTAGACCCAAACATGTTTACGTTGCTTTTAATTTACGAATATATTTCACGAGAGAAAAATGTTTGGTTTGAGAGGGAACATACAAGGATAGACAAAAAAATTATCTCAGGAAACGGGATTTAAAACGGGATCAGTCAGATTAAAACGAGATTTACTGCATAAAACTCGAAAAAATTTTGTTGAAATTTCTTTGGAGTTATGGAACGTAGATATTGAAGCGCTTAAGAATTATTATTTAAGTTTATTGTCTTAATAAACGGATTACCTTGTATAAAATAAAACGTTTCTTCTCACTTTATTTCTTTCTTTGTTATGAATTTTAAAATGTTTTACTTTCAACTATTGAAATGTTCACGTTTCGCAAGTGTGCCAGGGGACAGTGAACATGTTAAGGGAGTTGCTTATTATTCGCGAATTCTTATGGTGCTGCAAATGCAAGTGCTTTTAAATCTTTAATTTTACTTAGTTTGTGCGAAAGACGCTAACGGACGATGGGTGAACATACCGAATAAATGTAACCATGTGATTTCCGCATATAACGTGTGGTCAAACGTTCAGACATAAACACTAATAGGGTCAAAAAATGTCTGGTATTCGAGAGAACACGATGCAGATAACTTTTATTCGCAAGTTCAAATGTGGACACAGGTTAGATAATTTCTTATTTGCAAACTCGTTGATATTGAATATACTTACGATTCTGGAGCTGAAATATTAAAAGGACTAGGTACTAAAATTGGACAGATCGTTATTTCTCCACAATTAGATGTTAGAAACTTTAAGAAAGAGAAATTTGTTAAGATAAATATTTACCATTATTCCTTTTTAAAAAAAATTTTGCTATTTTTTATAATAACAACTTCAGTATAATGTTTTCTTTCTAGAATTCAAAACTATTTTAGTTTTAATCTACAACCAATGTTACCTTTCTGTTATTAAACCTAAACAGGGAACACTAAAGCTTCGAAAGCACATGATTTAATGGATTTGATAATAGATTCGAATTGAGGAATTCTTTCTAATTAGATGTACAGGTCGCGGCTGAATATCATGTACTACCGGACACGAGGTGGTTCCTTATGCAAAAATAAGAACAGAATATGCAATAAAATTTCTTCATTTAAAGCCTACTTTTCCAGAAAATCGAGTTTGAAAATCCTATTCGTACGTATACTGTTATGGGAGACTGAGTTACGGTTCGTGGAGCATCGTATCACGCGTATCGTGTTTATAAACAATATCATTTATAAGTTACTAAGTTAGACTTTGTTCTATTCTTTGCACTATTCTTCGATTAGGAACCCTTCGGTTAGGATGGTGTTCACTGTATACAGGCTGGTCCACGCAATTGTTTCAGGTCATAACTTCGTTATTATTGCATTTACGAAAAAATGCCAAAGGATAAAGTTAAATGGTTCGAAGAGCACTACATCTGTAGGACTTAAAATTTTTTTTAGATGCAGCAGTGGATATGCAATTAACAATTGCATCATTTCTTTAAATAGACATGCGTATTTTTTGTTTACACAGATCGATTTTTCTGTTCATTCTACGTAAAAAATGATTAGGGTACTATCGCCAAAAAATGATTAGTTCTCGAGATATTTTCAAAAAATGTTTTTATTGAAGAAGATGCTCAAACGCTTCACCATTACATTCTAAACATCTCTGATAACGTTTTTTTATTGTTTGCATAACTGCGTTTAAATTATCTGCATCACACAGCACAAAAGTGCTGTGCAACACATATCTTGTTCCTCACGATTAGAAAAATACATTTTCTTGTACTTAGTGAAATACAGTTACACTTTTTCAAATTCTTAGTTTTCGTATTCGAGTTACGATAAGTGAATTGCTACTGAGTGATGAAATGCTTACTCGTAAAAATCAGTTTCTGTTATGATAACAATGTCGAAAGGGTCTTTACCTTTAAAAGCGTGTTTAACTTACTAGTCATAAAGCGTTTAAGCATCTCCTTCAATAAAGACATTTTTTGAAAATATCTCGAGAACTAATCATTTTTTGGCGATAGTACCCTACTCATTTTTTACGTAGAATGAACAGAAGAATCGATCTGTGTAAACAAGAAATACGCATTTCTATTTAAAGAAATGATGCAATTGTTAATTGCATATGCTTTGCTGCATCTAAAAAAAATTTAAAGGCCCACAGATGTAGTGCTCTTCGAACCATTTATCTTTCTCCTTTGGCATTTTTTCATAAATGGAATAATAACGGAGTTATGACTTGAAACAATTGCGTGGAGCACCCTGTATATAATAACGAATAGTAGCATACAAGTTTCTATTACAGGCTCCAAAAGCTCGGATCATGTCAACGTATTCCCTATGTGTGTGCATCATCATTAGATAAATCAAAGAAAATTGACTGCTTAGTCAAATAACTAATTCTAGTTTACAGCCAAAATGTACATTCAATGCCACAAGTTTTTTCTTATGTATTTTGGTCTGTTAAACTCGAAAAACGAAATGAAAATTTTTTTTATGGGTAGATTTTTTATATGAATTTTTGAATTTTTCTTCGATTTTTTTCTGAGACGCCTTCACAGTTTAGGCCATATCTCGAGTTAGAAACGTCCGATTGGGCCGCGCAAGATGCTATATTAAAGATAATCGAATTTCCAACAATTGTTTCCTACATTGTTTTTCAATCGGTTCAATAGTTTAAGTGTTACGAGCCAACGTATATGAGAAACTTCGATTTTTTTCAGCTAAAAGAGAACACAAAAATTTCTTCCATCTCCATGCAAAAATAGGAACTGTCAAATTATGTTCAGTTTCTTATTATTCAAGTATAAGTCGCAGTTTTACGAAGAAAACAAGCTTCTGTTGAAGAACACTTGTAGATAAATACCGGAGTTAGCAATAATTGAGTAAAGATACAAAAATTCCAATTTTACTCTGTTTTTGTATTTTTCTCCTATTTATATAGGAAACGTTTATTTAATTCATTTCGATTAGAAATACGATTAGAAATAATTTTGGCCATTGCTTTGTCTTCTGTTCTTCTTTGGGTCCGTTTCTCTGATGAGGAACCAAATGTAGTCTCCCAACATTCTTTCATCCCAATACCCTTGACAGCGCGACTCAATAGTTTTGATATCTTGGTGAAACCTTTCACCGTGCTCGTCATTTACATCGCCAAGATTCTCCGGGGAAAAATCCAAGTGGAATGTAAGAAATAAATTTTGAGCGACATATTTTCATCTTTTGAAATTAAAATTGAATGTACAGATTTATTCATTTTGTCAAATCAAAAAGAATAACAATATATATTCCATACCTATTTTTGCATAATTTATTAGCAAATCTTCAACAAGTTTCTTATAATAACAAAGGAAATTTCTAAACGTCTACATAAACTAAAAAGCGGCAAGAAGCAACACTTGCATTTATATACTCTTATTATGAAAAGTGTATGCTTTTATTTAAAACAAGTCCGATGCCAATCACTCTCGATCATTTTTTTGTAACCCTTCCTAAAGTTTACATTGCTTTAACACTTCATTGCTCGTACCCGAATTGAAATATGCGTATAACATAAATAAATATTTAAACGTCGAGGG